ATAAGAACTGCACAGTTCCAAAATGAATCAGTACCGAACTGTGACAAGTTACATCATTCATTGCTCTTAGGCAGGTCTTACACTTGATAATCCTACACATTCGCTAATCTGGCGGCAGTCTATGCAAGGAATTGCCGGATTAGCAAGTGTATATGTGTAATAAATTCAGAAAATACGGTTTAAATCAACCACTATCATAATATAGTTATTTTTATTAATATCAAATATAAAACTGAAAACGAATTAAAAGTTTATCTTAAACCAATTTAGATAGATAATTGAATTAGAATAAGATAATTGAATCTCATTAATATTCTAAAGTGAGTTAATTATAATTAAGATAGTGCATCTTCGAGATTCTATCGTAATTCATAGAATTGAAGAATATTTATTTTTATATCAAACAGAATGTTTTTAGACATGGAAAATAATTTGCATAAAATGAAAGTTTATAGTATGATTTTTCTATTTATATTGAAACTCGCGTAAGATAATTAAAGGGGAAGAAAATGTAGAATATCCAAAATGCAAAACAGATTTCCGGAAATTGTCGAAGTTGTTTAACCGTTAAGCATATTCTAATGAATATGGCGAAGAAAGAAATCAAATCAAATATATTTGCCGAGAGAAGAAGATTTTTCAATTTAGGAACCGATAACGACGGAAACGAAGAGAAAATAGAAATGTCCTTTATGTAATTGAATGTTTCCGAAAGGAAATGTGTAAGTAAAACTCTTTTAATCATCAAATAAACGATATCTCATTTTCCTAATCTATAACATTTTAAATTTTAATATTTCAAACTTATTTATTTGGTCGAAATTATTTTGAACTCGTCCATATCTTTCCTTTCTTTTACAGCTTACCAGTGGTCCAGTGGATAGAACCACAATACTGGTAGTTGAACGCGGGTTGCACCTCGCCAACGGGCTGGTCACGTCGAGTTTTCTGGATTTTCTTTGCGTGCTGAACATCTAAAAGTCCTCTCGAGAGGCAGATGGCCCTCGTATTGCGTTGCCTATCCCATCAATCTTACAACCCTTTCTTTATACAAATACTCTGTTTCTTTGCTTTAAGATATAAGAAACTTAGATGTGATAAGCAACATCATTGCTGATTTTTCTTTAGTAAAGATAATGTTTTTATAATTACGATCTTCCAATCAAATGTATCCTTAATTAGTTAAATTAATATCTTCCTAATTATCTAGCACAGTGTTTTTCTGTTGTATCAAAGAATCGATATTCCTCATTACGTAACTCTTTACGACTTGTTTGTTGATGTTTGTGAAAGTACTGTTCAAGATATGTTTTAATTGTATTAAATATGAATATTTTATTTTAAAACGTTATAAATAAATTTCTATAAAGCTGTGAATTTAATTAACAAATATTAATTTTTTTTTGGAATATCTATCAACGTAAAAATAGTTTTAAAATGAATTATTCTGCATGTTACACTTAAACGCAGATAAATTAAACTCGAAAAAGTTTTTTCTGAAAAAATAAGTTATTTTTTAAGGAAAGAACTTCTAAATACACTAAAGTAACATTATGATTAATTTTATTTTTGATTAATGGTTATTTTCAAGTTTAAAACGCATATTTATGTCGTGCAAACATCGTTTTCAATTCTACAAGATACACAGTTGCATTAGTATATAACTGAAAACATCTGATAGTATATTTAGGTTTGAGTAAAAAGATTTTCGCAAGGGAATCAAACCTTCTGTGTTCTTTCTATCCACAATTGAATGTTTCTAAAATACACTTTTTATATCTATATCTTCAATTCAACTGTTTCTTTTGGAGTTTTAAAGTCTTCACCTCAAAGCTCGGGATGCGGGATATTTTTAGCAAGAGTTAAAGCAGAATTTGCTTCTGTAAAATGGATTGAATTCTCTCCATCACCAAAGAGTAAAATGGGAATTCTTCGGGGACGAGATTTGTGAAAAATTTCCTAGAGTACCTTAAAAGCTTGAATAACTTGCTGGAGAGCTTAATGGGGTTTTGAATTCCTCTATATACTTCTAAAAACAGAAAAAGAAAGTTTGAAGAGATCTATTGATCGTAATCAAAAACAAAAAAAAAACGAAACTAAATATATTTGGATACTTGTAGATTGTAACCTTAAATAAAATAACTTAAAAATTTTACTATAACTTTCATATTTTTAATCATCCAAATTCTGTTCATAATCGTACTTTAATAAATGATATGTAAATATTTAATTAAACAATAAAATAAATTATAAAATAAACTATATATAAGTGCATTTTATAATAATAAATATAAATTAATTTACGATAGATCCATACTTTTTATAAAGGAAATTTGACATTCCTAAATCCAGAAAACAGATATCTTAAATAAACTTTACAGGAAATTTACATGTAATATAATAATGTAATTAATTGATCGTTAATTTTAAAATATTTGTATAAAATTTATCTCATTTAGATGTCTAAAGAAAATTTCATACATAAAGTTACGTAATAATTAGTGGGAAGCAGCATGAGAGAGAGAGAATACTTTAATACCCTGAAACAATTGTAAACGTGTTAATTGATCGTAAATTATATTTGCAAAACGTTAATTTAAGCGTTAATATCAGCCAATTATAGTTTAAATATATTATTTTGTTTATAATTTAAAATATATTATACATCACAGAAAAGGATATATTTGTTGTTTCCTGTTTTTATTATGTCTGCTTGTATTATTCTGCTATTAAAGTAGATATGACTCTAGTTAATAAATAATATATTAATTTAAATATTTAAGAATAAAACATTTCTTTATTATTAAAAAGAATGAATTGACAAAATCGATAATTTAAAGTTGTATGTATGCTTTCGAAGTTAAGATTTTATAAATATTTCATGTAACATTCATAAAGATTGCATTATGTTTTGACCATAAGCAACAGTATTTATCCTACTTTATCAATTCTATTAAGAAAAAGATATTTGAATTTTTGTTGTCTGATAAAATCTTTTGGTTTTAAATTATGTGACGGACAATGCAATAATTGATAAAGAAAATTAAGTTCGAATTCTTTAGTGAAAAAATGCACTTAAGTGTTTACAGTATTTTCAAATTTATTAAAGCGCGTAATATCTTTATACTAATTACTTTTACTAACTTTGCTGTAGATGAAATCAATTTTTGAAGAATCTCTCGAATTTCGGATAAAGTAAAGAAGGATTTGATAATCGATGTTCATCGACTACAACCATCTGTCATTACTAATGACGCTTCTCGGTGCTCCTTGTCAATAGCATATGCTCTTATTAAATCGTATAATTATCTATTCTGCACATGTTCATGATTGACTAAACAGCTCCGAATTTGAAAGTTTTTAATCTATAAACAAACGATCGATTAAAATAGTTTTTAATTAAATTGGTTTTTATTATTTAATAACTCTTTCTAAACTAGTTGTTTAAAACTTTTTTAATTTTATATCAAAATTTATTTAGAAATTTAGTAGTTGTTCTAGCTTGAGCAAACTCTTAAGCTAGCGCAAACTTGTAAGATTCTTTTGATATAAGTATTTTATAATATAAATATTTAATAAAATTAAATACAAAGCCCGTAATACTTGATATTGTATAAGATCTATGATTCTAACTAGTTAATACTGATAAGTTCTGATCCAATACTAGGTAGCTATATAGTACTGGATCAGGAATATATTTGATACAGATATGAGATATTTATGTGTAAATGCACAAACAACTTAAACGAAAAGATGATTAAAATTACTCAACTTTTAAAAATGTTTCAAATTTATTTCAGGCCCACCAGTGGCCGAGTGAATAAATCCACTGAACACTGGTAGTTAGTCGTAGGTTCGCTCTTGATCAACGGACTAGCCGCATAGAGTTTTCAGAGTTGTCTTCACGTGTCTAGTATCTAAATAGCGACCAGTTTTTTTCACATAAAGTCCTCCTATGAGACACAGTTTCCGAATTTGCTAACTAAACTATGTAGCTGCGTATTCCCCATAAAAGTACTTCCATTAGGACTTTCTATGGGGCATACGCAGCTTCATAGGTTAGTTTTTTCTTCAAACGGGTAAACTTCAAAAATTAGACCCTCTTTATCTGTAAGATAAAGAGGGTCTAACTTGTAACACAAAGATTTTACATCTTAACAAAAGTATCGTTATTTATTGACACTTTGCGTGCCCGGGAGGCACTGTTTGGCAAATCCCATGTTGAGTTGCCGTATCCCATAAAACCAACCAACCAAATTTATTTAATTTTTGATTGAATACTGTTTTGGAGTTCAATCCTGTCGGCGCAAGGCGGCATTGTAACCCTACTTTCGTTAAGATATAAAATCTTTGTGTTACAAGTTAGACCTTTATCTGTGCCTTTTGTGGCACAGAGACTAAATTATGTAGCTGCATATATATTTAGTTTGCTTTCTGTAGTCTACTCTACTTGTTCTTTAATAAATTAATGTAATCTCAGAAAAAGCTAGTTTATTGCATTTTATAACATATTTAATACTGTACTGTACATTAATTTATTTAATACATATAAGGCCGTGCTTTATGAAGTAGTGTATGTTCCCAGCTCACTGTTAATAAAGAGAATCGTTCGTAAATTGAAGAAAAATTATTTCAATATATTCCTTCAATATGGAAAGTTAATAAATTTTTAATTTTAATAAACAATTGAGGAATTTTATGGAAATTTGCATGAAGTTTTCATGAAGTGAATATCCACATTTATAAAATTCTGTTTGATATGCGTAATAAAATACTTAACTGTAAAAGGTATCCAAGTACTGTACTGTACATTTAGCTATCTTATTCCATAGAAATTCCAATTGTTCTTATTTCATAATTGTTTTACATAAATAATATTTATAAATAAAATAAGATAAAAATTAAAAACATATTTTAAAAAATCGTATAAGGAAAAAGCCTCAATAAAATGATTTTGATTGAAAATGATTTTGCATTTAGACCGATAGGCTTCGAAATCTTTCTGGCTAAGAACTGCAGTAAAGGGTGTCTTTTCCTAACTGTTTAGATGGTCTTATCCAGGTTCCTTAGAAATCGCTTATAAATGGTCTTTTCTCAAGTCTTTTCCCTTCTTTCCTCCAACATGTTATAATATGGCTTGAGAGCATTTGTTACGGCTCTTTGACTAGAAAAGCTGCGTTCCCAATTAGGATTATTATCCTAGACAAGAGATTCATAGGCAGTTTGTATCTGTGTTAAAACTTCTGTAAGTGTCTTTTTGGTGAGAGCACTAAATGGTATTATTTCCTAAACTTCTTTGTCTTTTTATTGACCTCTTTAGCAAGTTATACGGTCAACTCTTCCAAATATTTCTTTGAAAGTGGCTCTCAGTTGACACTAGCATTTCAAAATTCAATGTTTACATTTTGGCCATTTCACATGCGTCATCAACTATATTTGAAATAGGTTCAAACTCAGAAAAGTAAAAACTGTATCACGCCAGTTTCCTCCATATAAGACTGTGGCATTTCTTCTCAGGCTAGTGAAGCATTATAATGTTCGTTATGTTCATAAGAATATTAAACGCTTTCCAAAAAGTAGTTAGTCGTTTTTCACCAAAATAGCGCCAAGTTTGTTAACAAGTCACAATAGCATACTGTCAACATGTTTTGTCTTTTGATATGTTGAATTTTTGCTGCTCATTTTGAAATGTCTGTTAATGCGAATCTTCGTAAAAGAGAGAGAGAAAAAAAATAGACCTTACTGTATTCTGATGTCTTACTTAATTATAAAAACTTCTTTAACCTTGTTCGTACATTTAAAATATTTCTTGATAAATATTAATTGCAAGTATTCGGGTTAATTTTTTCCTCAAATTCTTGTAAAATAATAATGTTGAAATATGAAATTTTTTATAATTTAATTTTCTAAATATAACCTAAAAATTACATTGGTTTTTTTATATTTTGAAATAGATTCTTTCCACTTTTTTCTTTTTTAAAGCCAATATTGATTTAATTACGATTTAGTTTAGAAATAATTAAATTAGAAAGACTTCATAAAATATTTATGGTATATAACTTATTAGTTTCTATTCTCATATATTATTATTAGAATTTATGCTTAATAATTTACAGAAAATTTTTCAATTTTTTCCATTAAAAGTAAATTTTAAAATTTAATTAAAATTATCGCAATTAATTATAACATTTTCATCTTTTTTTTTTACTCTTTCCGCCTTATAGGCTCAAAGAGGGCCTTTTAATCAAGCTCATCATAGCCCATAATTGGGAACGAGGCCCAGATATACCTGGATATACAACACTCGAAGAATATCTGGGAATTTTCGACCGTCCGGATTCGATTCCGGATTCCCCAGAGTAATAGGCTGGCACTTTAACAGCTTGGCCATCCGGTCGTTTCGTCGGATTTATTATGAAAAATATAAAATAAAACGCAATGAAACTTTTGATAAAGCATCTCAGATAATAAAATGCAAATTTAATATATTCATATTCAATGTAGAATTAATAATGGAATGTAATTTAAAAGTTTATTAATGTTGGAGTAGTTAGTTCCATGACATTGTCTATACGGTGTCCTTGAATGTCTCATTTCTATTTTCAAATAAATGAAATTAGATTGGGTGTGAAGGTGTTGTGTGATGCAATATTAATAATTATTTTCATAATTATTTATAAATAGAATTTAAATTGAAAATTAATCGAATATTTGAATTTTAAATATTGGAAGTTGTCTTAATTAATTCAACTTTTCAGAGAGTTTGTATGAATAAAATTAAGAAGAATTTTAATGTGAAAGAGAAATGAGATTTTAGCCTCGTTAAGTTAATATTAAAAGTATAAAATTTGCATTTTTAGCATATTTCATTTCGAACTATTTAATCTGTGTTTTCGACCGTACTTTGAAGGTTATGTCTGAAGCATTATAAATATTTATGAACTTTTTATTTATCATTGATTCTATTTTTGTCTTTTGTTTACATAAATAATATTAATTATCGATATTATTGGTTATCATTCTAATCTCAAGCGTTTGCAACTAATCATCCCGCACTCTCGAGTGAAAAAAAAAAAGGAAAAACAGATAGAAAATTGATTTTACTTTACGTTCAAGGAGCCACTATAACCAATTTTACTTTTCATTTTATCGAATAGTTGAATGAATTCTGCAGACATGAAGTTCTACAATGTAAAGGCATCTATTCTTAGGTTAAATCAATACTAGATGCACAGGTTGTTCTTCTATAAACAATGAAATTTAATTGGGTTCGAATCGTGAAAATGATCTGAATTAGAAGAAAAAGTTGGTAGCAAAATATAAAACTTATTTACGAAATTCGAAAAAAAATCAATTTTAATAACCTAATTTTTATAAATGTACTGTACACAATTTCTAGTATACACACATTCACGACCATCGAGAGCTCGGAAATAGGGTGGGCTCATTTAGCCTTAATTTTATTTATTTATTTGTTTATTAAACCAATGAAATACGTAGATGTTTCTTTATTAATAAGAAGAAATTACAAAAAATAACATTAATTTTATAGGGGTGGGAACCACTACGGGCCATAAGTTTTTTTCGGACTTTAGGAAAATTTTCCTGCTTCTCCCTCTCATAGGCCCTGCATACATTAAATCTTAACTATTATGCATATTTATTCTTTTTATTCTAGGTTTTTTTAAATGCTGATGTTTATAAAGTTCCACTGTGTTAATTTTTAATCATTTTCTAGTTATTTTTGTATGCTATTTCAGTTTTTATTTCTATATTATAAATAATACCGAGAATAGTTTGTTGTTTAGACCAATCATAAACACACCTACTGTATATAAATAGATAAAAATAGCACATAATTTATATTTTATGTAAACTATTAATAATTTTTTAGGCGTAGATAATAAATTTAAAAAAATAGTCTATGTTTCAAGTGTTCTTTTCTCTTCTAAAATAAACATTGAGTGAAAGAATGTGGATGAGTCAAACCTCAAATTATGGGCACCCTACGAAGAATCTGTTGACTCATTGACAGTAAACGGAAAGACTGCTTAAAGTTGCTATAAAACGAAGTCAGGAAGTTCGAAGATATTATGGCCATGCAGTTTCTGTCAGCTCTAGAATTTCAAATTAGAAACAATCTCTTCATCTGTAAAGATAGTATAGAAGAAGAGAAATTACGTTACCCTGTCTATTTAGAGAATGAGGGATAAGACAGATATAATTGCTTTTATCTCTGCATTCGTTCGTGAATGGTTTGCTTACTTCATTTATTTTAATGTCTTTTTGAAAGAGGATAGCAGATAGTACGCTTTAAAAATCATTTAAATAAATTGTATCAGTTTAAAATAAATTATTTTAAGTAAAGTTTGTCATTTAAATTATTATTATTTGACAATTATAGTACCAAAAAAGAAATATATATATATATATATAAAGAAAAATGTTTCTCTTTACAAATCGATAATGAATAAAAATGTAATAAATAATGGTTCAACATAAATTACAATTTTATTCTAAACTTAAATAGAATCATTTAAATATATATTAAAAATATAAATTTTCATTTACGTTTACTAAAAATATCTTTAATCCTAACATTAAGATGCAAAAGTATTATCAATAATTGCTTATGCATTTATATTAAAATATGCTTTAAAATTAAAGAGTACATTAAAAGAATTTTCTAATAACTTTATTAATAATTATCTAATAATACTTGTTTTTTTTTATATTTATAGAATGAAGGTAGTTCTTATCGATCCATTATATACTGACTTGTATAACATGATGTAATCATTCCTTGAATAAACAAGAGCGTTTCTACTCTATACATCTAGATCCAGGTTATTATTTTATGATTAGATTTAAGCTAATAATTTAGTTTTTTAAACAATTTATTTATAATTTATTAACTGAAAATTTATAATAATTTTAAGCAAGGTAAGTTTACCTCCAATTTTTAAAAGAAAAGTAATATTCAAATGCCCTAACGCATCTATAAAGTTATTTTTATTGTGCATTTAAAATTGATTAAAAAATGTTTATATTTTTAATAAATTTCATTTATATCGTGGTAATGGTTTGTGCAGACAGACAGTCAGTCCATTTTTTATTTTGTTTTTTGCGTAGAATACTTTCTTCTTCAGCTGCATGGAAACATTCTTCCTCTCATTTCCTCAGGGATATATGTTAAAATTATTGAATTCGCAATAATTCAATAATTTATTGGATCTGGATAATTCTATATAAGAATCTCGAGGATAATTTTTTAATAATTAAGCTTTACGAATCGATAACTACCAGCGCTAAACATTACACAGTATTTTTTTAAATCTGTAAGAGTTACAAATTTAATTAATTAAATTATTTATCTTTTCAAATTCAATATTTACTTGGTATATTTAATTGCGTTATTAATTTCGTTTTTAAATTTTATACAAATAAAAATATATATATATTTTTTGTTTTAATGGATTTAAAGAAATGTGCAAAAATGTCTAGTATTTATTCAAATTAACATTAAATAAATAATAATAAATTAATGCTATACTTCTTTCATGTATATGCACAGCGTATTTTATCAGAAATGTGTCCTTTATGTTCATAAAATAAGCGTTTATTCTTTGTGAATTAAATCGATTTTTAATTTTGTATTACTTACAAAGTAATCCCTAAACTTTAGTTTTGAAAAATATTTGAATGGTTCTTGAACATATTTATCAGAGAATGGCTCTTGAAGATAATCTAATTAAGTATTCTGTATCTGAAGCTTCAAACCCAAGCCAACTGCTTAGAACAGATAAGAAATTACTGCTTTTATTAATTTGATTAGAACAAAATCTCCTTGACTACTTTTTGAATAAAAAGAGAATTCAATCTCCTTCTCGTATCTATATAACATATCATGAATAGCCTATACTAAAAAAATTCCAGATATATTTTATTAAATATGTTAGAATTTGAATGACATTTTAAAATTTTATGAACTGTTAAAATGTCATAACAACCGATCTAATTCTAACATGATTATTTTAAATTGTTAGAAAAATTATTTAATTAATAAAGTAAATTAAAAAATTATAGATTTAAATATAATTATGTATTGCTAAATGTCATATTAAATTTCATTTTTTATGTCGATATAAAGACAAAACAAGTAAAAGATTTACATATATTATTTAAGTAATAAAACTTACTTAATTGAATAAGTTTTTATTGTACAGATGTATCAAACATCTAATATTACAATCATTAAATCTGTTTAAAAACTTTTTTTAGAATAGTTAAAACTTTTAAAATATAAAAATTTTTTGGGTTTTTTTCTTCATTAAGCATTCTTTTGTTTCATAAATTTTTTCGATTTTGTTTTAAATTACATATTTATTTTGAGTTTTGAAAAATATTTGAGTAGGTCTTAAACATATTTATTGTACTGTCGAATATATTCATTATAAAATATATGCATGTGGACAATTTTCAATTATAAACAATATATGCTATTACAGTAGCAACGATGGAAGTTGCATCACCAATGACATCTGTTGAACGCTTTTTTCTTTGTCATATATGCAAAGAAGCAGGTGATTTTGATCGCAATTTGCAATGTGTAGTACAGAGAAGAAATCAAGAAGAATAAATCAAATGCAATTTATTACATATAATGCTAAATTGAACCCTACTTGTTATTATACCCTAGCTCATCCGTACTGTTATTGAGTAATGTAGCTAGAACGAAGCGCTCAGTTATAGAAGCGAAAAGGGAAGCGTTCACGGCATAAAAAGGCATGAAAAACAACACGAACAGTTATTTCTCGTTGAATTGGATCTTGTTACTTTGTAGGGAATCTCCAACTTTAATAACAGCTTTTCAGAGCTCTGGCTTAAAGCAGATGTGTTTCTTCAAGTATTCTATAACAAGTACGTGATACAAAACTCTTCAAAATACATTCTTATAGTTGCTGTCTATTTTCATGTTTCTTCTTTGCAATTTTCTTGCCCGTAAATTCCACCATTCTCAATAAGGTTGAAATCAGAACTGTCACTTAGCCAGCTTAGGCATCTGATCAAAGCCTCTTCCAGTAAATTTTTTTTTTACTAAAACAGCAATTTATGTGGCAGTTTGATTGACAATAATACTAACAAACCGTAGAGAAAGAACATTTATACTTTATCACCATATTGGCGCAGCGACATCGTGCAGAGTCGTCCAGGAAAATGCAGGATTTCGTGACCCGAAATTATTCCTTGATTGAATTAACTTGGCAGATAAGATATTTTCATAGCACTCTGCATTTACAGACCCATTTATAAAGTGTAGTCTGTCGATACTTTTACTGGATAAACATCTACTTACAGTTTGACTGGCCGGAAACTTCACTGTCTGCATCAAGTAATTCCTGTTTAAGGCTATGCCTTTCTACATCTAACACAGCGTTTATTGTAAGATCCGCGCAAGTTGATTTTGGATTCATTTGAAAACAACAGAACCCACATGTCAACATTCCAGTTTGCACGCTGTTTAACTCAGATAAGCCGATGTCTGTGAGCATTTTAGTCACAGTAATAACTTCTTACGCGTGAACGGTAGACTTTTAAACGCGTGTTGCACAGACTACGTCACACTGTTTATGCATTCGCTTTTCCGCTTCTATACTTTTCTCACTTTAATTTTAATTTGGAAGAACTACAAGTTGCATTGCTGCAGGCTGAGACGCTTCAGCATCCTATCCTGACACAGTGGACTCATACGTTTACCTGCTGGTCCAGCTTTGCTTTTAATGTTATGTTCACATCCCTTTTGTAACAAACGCACAATTGTTGATGATAACAATGCCCTCAGCGCTATTTTAGAAGACAAAACACGTTAAGCATTAAAATAAACAATTAAGAACTTACTTTTTTACATAGTGTTAACTATTGAAAACTCCATTTTGCTTAGAAAAGCGCACCACCTTCGCATGAATTTTTATACCACTGAATTAATGATACTGGTAGCATTGTTTGCAGTAGGCTTTGTCATCCAATGAAAAGCAATGTTATAGTTTATAATGTCACGAACGATGCAGATCTGCAGTAAGATGACACTTAAAAAAACTAATAAAAAACATTTTAATAGGATTTTATAAGTGATGCCATTTTCATGACAGCTACTATATATTTTAAAATCGAAATGAACTTATTTATAATTTCCGGAATTAGTTTATAAATATGTAAATATAACCGATAAATTAAAGTATTCCAACACTCTGTCATTAAAATTCTGTGTTTTTATCTGGTAAAATACGTAAATATAAATATTAATATTATTAATGGATAAATGTAGAATCAAATTAAATGCATTGTTTTTCTTGATCGAACTCTTAATAATGCGTGATTTTTTTTAATTCCAGTGTTTTAGGTGTTTTAGAATAAAATAATGATCGAAGATAATATGTTAAAATATATCACACAAATTAACTATAAAAAAATAAATTATTAATCGATAAAAATGATAATCAAGTTTTTGATTTAAATGGCATTTTTGCCTGTGGGAAAATAATTACTTATTAAAATGTTTGTGTATTACAGAGAACTTATAAAATATGTTTATTATTTTTAGTTAATGTAAAATAACATTTTATGATGTCTGTAAAAGTATTGTTTATATTTAACATGATTTGCTATTTTATTGATTTGTGGCCTACATCAGTGTGGCTAACCTTTTTCCGAAGGTGGGTCAAAATTGAATTCGAAATTTATTAACTTTAAATCGCTGGTCAAATGTTTAATTTAAGTAGTTATACGTCAAAAATAACAAAAAAAATTATAAATTATAAAAATAGGCCTACTTGTTAGATTTGAAAACTGCGTATGTAGTGAGAAAGCAAGCTCCTAAAGTTATCGTGAAAAGTCTTAAATGCTACTACAATAATTATGAATCTCCTTGAAATAGTCACAGGTTCGCCATCTGTGGCCAATAAACTAAAACCACTAAACACCTGGTAGTTGTCATGGGTTCGTGCTTGACCAATGGACTGGCCACGTGGAGTTTTCACGTGTAACACTTAAATAGGTACCAGTTTTCCATATAAAGTCCTACCGCAAATTTACTCAATTTAAATATAAATTTCATAAATTTCATAAATATTACATCAATATATATCATATATAGTATTTTATAATATATAAAGTATATTATACGCGTATATAATACACAATAATATTATTCGCTAATTATTATATATATTACAAACATGTTTATTAAACTTCTCTAATTATATTACAAAAAAAGTTCAAAAATTATCAATAGGCTATACGAATTNAAACTGAATTAAGTTTGAATACAAGTTTATTTTAAGCTTTTATATTGATTTCTTTCAGACATTCGAAGTAATTTATTAAGCAGCCTATTTCTTTTAATTTCTGCAAACTTTTTTATGCGGTTTTAAGTTAATTTTAACTTGTTGTTTTGGTTTTATGCGATTTCAGAAAATTACGGAACGTATCCCTACTTTTTCAAGGCAAGTAAAGTCTTTTTTTTAAGCGAATTTTTTATATGCGCTTTTCTGTAGAACGTATCCACCGCATAAAACGAGACTTTACAGTATACGATAGTATAATATTTTGTTGTAATTGCATAAATATCTTGAAATGCTCAAGAATATTTCGCCATTTAATCAAAATGGCGGGATCGGGCAAGTTGTTACAAAACGATTGGGGAATGTTAACTTTGTATTGTGTAAAATTTTGTGTAAAATTGTAAAAACATTGTAACAACTATGTTTGTATTCACTGTGTTTCTGATATATCAATGGACTCTCATTATGTTTTGTAAGAGCACATTTTGTTTTAAGAAATATGTTTT